TTTCACGAGATAGGCTCTGGAGTAAGTTAGAGTCTTCCACAATATATCGACGCCTTCTGCTGCTTATACACGAAAATACAACACTCAGAATTAGATGCGACAAGGAAGGCCACTTGTCTGATAACGTTCCAACCTATAATGGTGTGAAGCAAGGTTGTATATTAGCTCCATTGTTATTTAATTTCTATATCAACTCAATGGTAGCAGCACTCAGCCATCCAGAGTTCCATCCCCTCAAACTAGCCAATCGACATATATCACTTCTGTTATACGCAGATGATGCAGTCCTAATTTCACAGATACCAATAGGACTTAAGAGAGCTTTATATGCTCTCGCACAATACTGTAAAGAAGAAATGCTACAGATAAATTACTCGAAGACCAAAGTGTTAGTGTTCGCTCAGAGGCCCAGGATCTATAAGTGGTTAATAGATGAGCATGAGATTGAACAAATTAAGGCCTATAAATATTTGGGCGTTGTTTTCCAATATAAAGGAAACCACAAGGCCCATGTTAACAACGTGGTACAAGCAGCACAAAAATCTAGCCTTACTATACTAAAATTCTTCTATTCTAAGGGAGGCCAGTACATTCCAGCTGCACTAAGATTGTTTCAGGCCAAATCCCTTAGTCAGCTCTTGTATGGGGCACAATTGGGCCCCTATTCTTCGTTTATCCAGTTAGAAGTAGTTCAGTCCAAATTTGTGAGGGCTATATTACAAGTTCCAAGAGGGGTATCTAATGCAGCCCTCAGGCTTGAAGTGGGCTACCTGAAGGTTGAAGCCAGAGCTTGGCTGGCTATTTTTAACTTTTGGCTAAAACTAACCTTTCAACCAATTGGACTGACTTCACTGGTATTACAGGATAACCATCAGTCACCTTGGAAGACAGCAATATACTATAAAATCAACAGATACGACTATTCAGTAGAAAGTATCCAACAAATGGGATACGTTAAGGCCAAGAGTAATCTTAGGCAGCGTATTATTGAGACAGAAAGGCAGCAGGATCTTGCTATTATCAGAAATAGGTTTACAGTTGACAACACATTGCTCCCACTGAAACCAGCAAAATATCTCTACTTACCCCTAACACCTAAACAACACGAAGCTCTTACTTTGGCCCGCTTCAATGCACTTCCGTCAGCAGTCCAGGAAGGGAAGTATAACAACAACCCCTACACTAAGCTTTTATGCCCCTGTAACTCTGGTGAGATTGAATCTTATCTCCCATGTATTACTACATTGTGCTTTTTATTCTGACATTCGAGAAGTCCATGTTAACCCTTACATAAGGGCATTTCCTGGACGATCAGAGGCACATTACACACTGCTTTTGCTGACAGGGCGATGCCCTGACAGATATACTGGGCTAAATTCAGATATGCTGACAAAAGTAGCTAAATTCTGTGCTGCTGCAATCAAAATCCATGAAGGAAAGGTTCCACCTAGAGCACAGCTATAGAATCTGTAAATTGGTGTATAAATTGGTAATGTTCACACGGGCTCTATGAGCAACAATTTTGGCATTCTATGTAAGCTGTAATAGCCCATAGATAAGGCCTATGAAAGGGAGTAGGAGATATTTAGTAAGATGTATGAATGTGGTTTTATATATATGTATATGGATGTTTTTAGTGCTTAGGTGTTTTAGTGTTTTTAATGTTTTTAGATTGTTTTTATGTCCCCAAATTTAAATAATATATCTTAATTTTGCTGGTCAATGACCGTAATAAAACATTTCTTTCTTCTGCTGTGGGAGAAAAGTTAGCACTTTAGGTGATCTGACACTTCCCTAGTGATAAATTATTTGTCCCCAAGGTGTCTGTTGTGGGAGGGGCAAGTTGAACAAGGAGGCAGAAAGGTAAAGGTAAAGAGAAGCTAAAATCAAATTCATTTTCTGCCACCCTACCCTACATTCGGAACAGCTTGCAATGATACGATAATGTAAGAAATGCAAAGAGACCATATCAATTTCAGGTCCCTGTTATTGCTGTATTTCCTCTGCTTCTGCCATCTAGCATCTTTACTCCTTTTATGCGCTTATGTGTTTTAAAGTGTGTGGATGCACCATAAGGATGCAGGTACACGGGTTATATTTTAAAGAAGAAAGAAGAAAAAAGGAAACTTTTCAGCTGTGAAGGGAGGCAAATCAAAGCAGCACAAAAAAAACAGTGGATTGGGAGGTGCACAAAAAGCTGTTGGAAGCAATGTTCCCTATAAAGTTGCGTAGCCCTGCTGCCCTGCATTGCTCCTGTTTGGTTCTCATTGCAGCTGAAACTTTGCACACACTGAGTGGAGTTTTTTTCTGGTGGAAAATGGAATGCTGTTCATTAATTCCATTGAGTTTTCCACCAGCACTGAGCAGAAACCCCACCCTGCGCATGTGGGGTTCCAGCTGTGACCAGAAGCAAATGGGTGGCAACACTGGCTGCAGGTACATGAGACCAATGCAGTGCTGCATAGCCATGAATTGTTTGGATACAATATATAAATATATACAACGGTGCCTTGCATAGCGACGATAACCTGTGCAGCAAAAATCGCTGCAAAGCGATTTCGTCACTATGCGATTTTTAAAAGCCCATAGGAATGCATTGAAATATGATGGGACAAAATCTTGGTTAGATCTGTGCTTGATGGGGAACAATGTTCCCTCTGAGCTGGTGGCTGTGCAGTGATGTATCAGGCACACAAACACAGAGCCAGTGTTTCTGCGCCTTTGGTTTTAGGCATGGCTAGAGGGGGGAGCGCTGACCAGTGGGGCTGAAAATTAGAGAGAACACTGATGGGAAATGTGACATTCACCTCCTTGAGGCACCTACGTTTTGTGCCCTCACAAAGGTTCCAGTCGTGTTTTCCTTTCACTGCTGCCAGTGGATTACCTCTATCCACAAAATAAATGCCATTTGATCAGACACTTGTATGGTGAGTGCAAACAAAACTTATTTATTGAAGTGAAGCCAATTTATTAATCACAAAAGTTCTTCAGATGTACATACTATTCTCTTGCCATATAATTTCCACCTTCTTTATCTATTTATCTTAACCTATCTCTAACTCTATCTCTTCTGACTCTATGACTCTCTCCTTCTGACTGTTGACTAACTCCTTCTCTCAGGCTCCGCCTTTTAACCTCTCTCTCTCTCTCTCTCTCTCTCTCTCTCTCTCTCTCTCAACATTATTAGCATACAACATGAATAATACATGACTTATACCTAACAAACGGTGACCCACTACAGGGAACTTAAAGGAATACAATTTACCATTTGGAAAAGTCCTCTGTTGATTATGTGTCACTGTGATTTGGAGGTGGGTGCTTTGTTTTTTAGTGGCTCTTCTGTTTTCAGGATCAGCACAGCATGTAACAATGAATGAGTTGTATTTGCAATTACTGTATGTCAGAGAGAATTTCAGAAGATGCCGTACTATTTTGTCCCTAGTGTCATCTAACTATCTAAATGAAGATGTTGGGAGTGTTTATTAGAAGGATTGCCATTAATATACTGATGTCAGCTTAATCTCTGTGTCACTTCTGAATTGAAAGGGGCCATGCAAATCTTAGCTCAGTGTCTAGAGGTGTTTGTGAGTGGGGGTGGGGAGGATGTCATTAAATTGAAATTGAATCCTGGTAATACAAAGGTTGTTGGACAATTCTCCTTTTCTGGACAGAGCTACATTCCCTCTGAAGAAACCAGAATATAACATTGGGAAGGGTGTGCTTATGAAATCACTGTTTCAGTTGATGTGCTATTCCTAAACAGTGATACCTTGGCTCCAGTAACCCTAGCTTTGGTACTGTCATTTCTCCACTGTATGTGGGTCTGCCTTAGCTATAGCCCAGTGCTGCGGCTGGTACAAAAGGAAGCAGTGATATTTATTATTATGTAATTGGTCTAGCCACTGCCACATAAGAGCACTGCTGCTGAAGGAGTGGCACTGGCTATTAATTCGCTGCTGGGTCAAGCATAACACTTTGAATCAGGATACTGGAGAGATTCTCTTCATCTGCATAAATCTGCTCATCTGCTTTTAGTTATGCCACATCCTGCAGGTGTCTATCTGACAAAAACCAGGAAGGGGGCCCTCACTGTGATGGCAGTTACTCGGGGATACTGCATTCACAACTTAAATATGCACCAGCCTTGTTAAAATTTTGAAAATAACATTTTTATTTGCCTTGATGTTTCATCATTAATTATGCCTATTCGGTATTTAGCTTGCCCACTGATTAAGTACATAACTGCTCTGGTTTTAGCTCCGATTCATATTGCAGCATTTACTGTTGTATACTACCTGGTATAGAGGACAGATGCTGTGAACTTTTAAATAGAGAAAAGAAGCATAAACATGCTGCTGCTATGAATAAAATAAACCTTAACCAATATTCAGAGTATACTGTACAGTGTTTTTGCAACTTCATTTTTTTTTGCCGTAAACGTTTCATTATAAATTGACTTATTACTTATTGCTGTAAATTGTATTTACAGCAACTGCAGGCTATGTGGGCAGCAGGTTGTACACACCTGCATTAGATGGGTGAAGGGGCAATGGACTTACTTATTTGAAAAAATCCCATACCGCGTTTCTCCCCAAAAGGACCCTGGGTGGAATATGGTCGCTTTGGTTGCCTTCCCCCATCCTCGAATCACTTTTGGGGAATGAGGTGAGGGAATGCTTGTGTGAAAGAGACACGCCTATGAGTAAACAGGACAACCCTAAATATACACGGATGCGAATTTATGTTAAACTGTATAAGGACAACCCAACAGAAATTAAAAACATTCAAGCAGTTTTCTTGGGGAGCCAACACTGGGCAAGGGCAACGGTGCTCCCCCCCCAGGAGCAGGAGCGTCCCCTCACCATTGGGGGGGGAATGAACGGCTTGGGCTCACGGGAGCTATAACGAAGCGACAGCCGGATAGCCTCCAGCCGCTGCCCGCTGCCTCAATGCCACTCCCCGTGGGATAAGGACGGCTCTTCCCGGGTCAGAAACCCTGCCTGGCGCTTGGACTTCCTTACTCCGCGCGTTCCAGCGGGACAAACGGCAGGCGGAGCGTCTGTCCGCCGCTTCCCTACCACGCAGGCGCAGTAAGCACGGCGCGGGAGTTGCTCCTTGCTTGAGGAGCGGAGTCTGCGGCTGGCTAGGCGTCTGCTTCCAGTAAACGGTAGATAAACCGGGGCGGAGGGGAGGGGGAGGGGAAACGAACGCTTGAGCCTGTGCCTTAGGAGGCCATTTCCCGCTCCCGTGCCTGAGAGAGCAGTTCTTAAGAAACGAGTAAAAAGTGTGTGTGTTTGGGGCGGGGGGGGGTTTGACGGTCGTAGTCGGGCGCGCAGAAGGGAAACCTCCTAGAAGGTCGTTTGATGGAAAAGTGAATGCTTGGCCTGCTTCTCACGGAGGAGAAACCTCGGACCGCTGCCCGGTTGGTGCTACCGCTGCTCTGCCCTTGTATGGGGCCGCGGCTGTTTGTCTGTAGGCGCGCCAATGTAGTGGAAGAGGGCTTCCGGCCGGCGAGCCCCGTCGCCATCTCCAGTCGCCGGAAGGCTGGGAAAGGTTTTTTAACTCTCGCGGGACGGTCGGGTCCTCAGTGGCCGAGGAGCCTGGGAGGCCTCTTGCTTGGTTTATGCTTTTG